TTTATGAGATACAGTATCTGCAAAATAAAGATGCTTTTGTTCTTTCTGGCTCTTTCATGAACATTTCATTCTCTTTCTGATGGAGAAAAAAAATGATCTCCAGAAGATTAAGGGGAGGGGGTTAAGAAGGAATTTTCCTTTCTTCCCCCTCCATTTTTTAAATTTGTTTAGTTTTATGGAAGCCCCTTCCAGGCACCCAGGTAACAGGAGAGCAGAATCTTCCTTTCCTTTCTCCTTCCAAGAACCACGACCGTGTAAGAGTCAGAGGATATGCACCCTTCTGATAACTATTGCTGATCAATGGCCCAATAAATGAGATTGATCGATTGACTGATAACTATTCTTATATAAAGAATGATGGAGAAAATGTGGGCCATTGGAGGTAGACATGAGGAAAGGTGTGTGGTGATGGTGTCTGATGGCCATTGAAATGCCCTTCCAATCAAATTCCAAGAGGAATCTTTGCCCTCATTGCCCTCACTCTTCTCTAATGGGATACAGAACAGAATAACAAAGTTGGGATAGACCCTGGAAGTCTTCTAGGTAATTTCTCTTTAGTTCTAGATTGCTTCTCTCCTTGATCAATTTCCATCCATTGCTTCTTGTCCTGCCTTCAGGTTCTTTGGAGAATAGGTTGAGCCCCTCTTCTCTGTGGCAGCCCCTCAGATATTGGAAAACTGCTATCATATCTCCCCTAGTCCTTCTTTTCACTAGACTAAACACACCCAATTCCTGCAACCGTTCTTCATATATTTTAGCCTCGAGCCCCCTTATCATCTTTGTTGCTCTTCTCTGCAGTCTTTCCAGAGTCTCAACTTCTTTTTTATATTGTGGGGACCAAAACTGGATGCAGTGTGGCCTTACTAAGGCTTTATAAATAAAATAAAAATAATAAAAAGGCATCTTACTATTATGGTAATTACTGGATGGAAAAATGAGAAAGCAACTATTTTGAAAAGTAGAATGAATGTTTTGACAGACTTCAGCAGCCTTGGAAAACAGGGGGGAGAGGTTGGTATGAGCCAAATATGCCTTCAAGTCATTTATTTACTGGGGATGTCTGGATTTGCTGCTCTTGACTTTGTTTGATTCCAGTTGTCAAAGTGGTTTGGGCTGCAGTGTTTATTTTTGACTCAGAGAATTGAATCATTCTGTCTCAAGGATTCTCATCAATGTAGGGAGGTCAATTTCATTCAAATAACTACTTCCTCCAAAGAAGTCTTGGTCTTTAAACAAACCCATTAAAACCCAATGAGCGTCTTTTGCTGGAAACCGAAAGTAAACACCAGTTTCGGGCATAAAATGCCAAAATACATTATCATGTGACTGAAGATGCTAAAAATGGCCATAAATGCAGGCTGGTTGCCTAGCACCCAAACTGCAATCACTTAATGGGGGGAGGGGGTTGTTGTAACTTTAAAACCAGCTCATAAATAGTTTTGTGGAGGTCCATCCTCACTTTGAGGATTGTATGTCGAGGATTACTTGTAAGTTTCCATGTATCAAATTGCATTGGGGCCAACCTTCCTCCACTAGATTGTGTTTGCTTTAGTTCCTTAATCAACATGGTGGTAGCTCATGAGACTACAGGTGCACCTTTTAAAACTCTGAAAGCAACAGTCTGCAAGCCCCTTCATAATAGATACTAGAAAATGATGTGATTTGCCCTTCCCTTCCTCAGCTAACTTCTCCATCACATTTAATACTGCGTAATTTGGAATGGCATCTGCAGCCACTAGCCCTTCAACAACCCATGGCAACAGATGACATTCCATGCTAAAAGAGGTCAGGAGGGGTCTTCCAGCTCTCCTTTCTGGCAGGCAACATCTAGGCTCATAAAAACACACTGGTGGATATAATCTGGCCGATAAATAAATTGCTAAAGATGTAGCTTTTATGCCTGACAGGCATGCAACCTAAAGAAAACGGGCATAAAAATTTGATGTTACACAAATAAGGGGAAAACATATTTGAGTCAGAGAAAGACCAAAACAGATGCCATTCTTTATGATCTGATGAGACCTGCTAGGAAAGTACCATACATCTCTCAAAAGTCAACCAGGCTCCAAACTTAGAGGCATATAAACTGTCTTCCTCACATCTCAGTTTTTTGAAAGTGAGATGCATGGCACCGTATTCAAAAGCTAAGGTCATTGTAGTGTTTGGTTAAAGATTCACTAGAAAAATCAATAATTATCCTACTAAGTTGTCTGCAGCTAGAAAAAAAAGAGAGTCTGTTAAGTGGTAAAATTTGCTGTGTCTTTGACAGTTCATGGATGTGAGAACACACACGCATTGTCAGAGATGGGTCTCCTGGAAGTCTATGAATTCAGGAGGTAGCAAATTAGTAACTCAGGGTAGCAGAATTCTGTTTAAAAAGAAGCCAGAAATATAGTTCAAGTGAGAACAGAGTCAGTCATTTATCTAAGAAGAACCCTCCAGGACTAGATCCAAACTATTCAGTGTCACACAGTTATCAACCAGATGTATCCTGGACTGTCACCTGTGATGGATAGGTTCTTCCCCACTATTGATCCTGAGCAACAGGTATTTAAAGGAAGCTGACTTGGATTTGGATGGAATTATGTAGACAGGAACCCAAGTGGTTTTTGGTAACTTGGTAATAAATGCAAAAATTGCAAACAATTCCGGTAGACAGAACTAATGGTTAACATGGAAACGAATCAAACAGAAGAAAATGGTTTACTTACTCTGTCGTCTGTCTGTCTGTCTGTCTGTCTGTCTCTCTCTAATAATTATCCATCACATCTGGTCCAATTCTAAGCCTTCTAATAAGAGATTAAAATCATCAACCCAACTATGTTAAGCCAAAACAAAACAAAATAAAATCATTATACCATAATGTGTAGGCTGAGCCTCAGTATTATAATTTCACTCAGAGATCAGTGAAGGAATTTCTGGTATGAGTTTAAGCTAGCTTAATATAACCTCTTTTTTTTTTCTCCCCAGGGGTGTTGTGGTGAGTAGGGTGGCTTGGTCTAAAACAAGCAGCTTTCCTTTCCAATGTTCTTTTTCACGGGGTAAGCAAGTTCACAAGAGATGTGAGATTCAAACTAAGGCAATTGAGCTGTCAGCCCACTATCTCAGTCACAGTGTCATTCTTGTCAGTTACCCCAACTTCATTCTGAGTTTGGAACAATGGCTCCTTAAAAATAACTCCCTTAAAGTCACACTTGCAGCGTAAATCTCTGGGAATGTGATAGATTTCACCAAAACAGAACTCTCAACCTTTAGTAAAGAACTGAATCTGACGCTGTTTCCCGTAGCAGTAATAATCTGGGCTTCACAATGAGCCTTTCTCGAAGTTTCTCTTCAACTTGTGGCTTGTGGAAAAGCTTGAGGGAGCGCGAGAGATCTAAGCCAACTTGTCAAATGCTAATCATACTGGTTAAAACAAAACACAAAAATGGGATTAATTTAATGGAATAAAGCTAATGATAAATCTGAATTAGTGTTGTTCTGATTTACTTTGTGGCTTGTGGTGAGTTTGTAGACAGTAGTTAGGAAACCCCAAATATGGTTAAATAAGAAAGTCAAGAGTGAGGCAAGCCTGTTGCTAAAGTGTGGGATTTTAATTCTAAGCACAAGACTTCCTTTTGTGGTCTTTCGAGATAGAGAACTGAAGGGGTGTTTTCTTGGGTTAGTTTGAATAATAACATGTTTTGACAGGGAAATTGGTTTGGACGCATGGACTTAGTCTGCAAAATTTCTGATCCAGAAGTCAGAACGTGTGACTTGCAGAAGATGTTCAAAAGCAGAAGCTTACAAGGTTTGCTGTGGATACTGCTGGTACTGTTCAGAGTCAAGAATTGGGCTAATTTTTTCTAACCCCCTTTTTTACAGTTGGATTTTTTTGGGGGGGGGTTATTCTGAACCTGGCTTCAGAAATTATACCTGGGCACCATTTAATGTTGATTGGTAGAATAAACCACTATGGTTTATCTATTACACATTAAACCTTCCTTCCTTCCTTCCTTCCTTCCTCCCTCCCTCCCTCCCTTCCTCCCTCCCTTGCTCTGTCCCTCCTCCCCATTCACTTTCCATTTCTCTTTTTTCTTCTTTCTTTCTCTTTATTCCTTTCTCTTTCTTTTTCACTTCACTTCATTTTTTCCTTTCTTTCACTTATTTTTTCTCTCCTTCCTTCCTTTCCTCCCTCCATTCTATTTTCATCTGCTTCCACTTGGAAAAGTTTGTGATGGGATGGCTATTCTGGACAGAAAGTTGCAATAACAGATGATTTTTTTATGGTTTGGATACCACGGATGAATTGTGAGGACTAACGGATAAATATTCACCTAACTAAATGACAAGTTAACGGGAGCTTCCAAGAATTTGTGAACAAGAAAATAAATTGCCCAATGAGTTCTGCTTTCAGCGTTCACCAGTTCTGGTCAGAAAGCCAGAAATGGAGAACACTGGAAGACATCTGTGTCACTAAAACCCCATGGTTTTAATGTGATGGATCCCTTTGCCCAGCAAAATTATTATTGAGATAAAAATGAATAGGCTGGGAAAGAACCTATTTATTACCCAGAGCTGCTTGAAATGATCAATAGCAATGAAAAAAAAAAAAAAAAGGGGGGGGGGAGGATCTTTTCTTTCACAGCTCATTTTGAGATACAGAAACTGTCTCTTCCTCCTCTCCTCTTCCTCCTCCTCCTCCTCCTCCTCCTTTTTTAACACAATCATAAGTTAAAAGATTCCAAAGCAGTTAAACTTGTCTCCCACCCAGGTGACCTTTCCAGCATGTAGCAGCAAAGATGTTAATACACTTTGCACATGTTAGAGAACAACAGGTGGCCACTAACTCCCTCCCCCCACATCTGAACCGCCTGAATTCTTTGCTTTTCAAACCAGTGGCCCTGGTATTTCAAGATTTATGCTCCTTTTCCCCCTCCGGCTCTGACTGACAGGCTAATCAGTGGGCTGGAGAGCCCAAAGCTATTGATTCCAGTGTAACAGAACACCCTCCCCACCCCATCCCCACCCCAGTCAATGGAACAGCAATGAAATGGTTCAGCAGAGAAGAAAAGGAAGCAGAAGATGGTTGGAGCAACTTGGAAGAAACTTGCTTGCTGGCTGCACGGCAGGTATGAAAAGCTCTTGGGGAGCAAGGTTGAGTAGACAAGTTATTAAAAGAAGGGGGAGAAACCCACAAAGTATAGCCACAGGGAGCCTAGTTTGTCTGCTTAGAGCACAGTGAGGCATAGGCTAAAAGAAAAAGGGAGAGAATATTTGGGGCAATCCAAGGAGACCTCTGCAGGTGGTGGGAAGCAGGTCTTCACCCAACCTAGCACCACTGGCATTTCTCCTCCAGCTTGCTGTTCTATACCCATCTCTGTAAGGGGGAGTTCAGACTGCTAAGGGCTACACACAATGTCTCGCTAAGGGCTACACACTGCTAAGGGCTACACACAATGTCTCACCAGGAGGACTCTCTTGCCATCCAGATAGGGGTGCCTATGGAAAGCAAGCTGGGGAGAGCTCCACCTGTGTTGCCCTTCTGCTCGAGTGCAGTCCTGACCATGAGAATGTGCCGTAAATGGCATAAATCCCATTCCAGGTCTACAATTTCTTTCCCTGCTGAGATGTACAGGCTGGTCCTATCCCGCAGCAAACTTCAGCAGGCTGTCTCAGGGAGCAGAACTGAAGGAGAGCTATAAAGGCAGGGATTTCATTGTGGTGGGAAATCTTGCCCTCCTCAGATGAATGAAAATGATACTTTTGTGTTGGAAATTCATTGTCTCCCTTTCTTTATCCAGCGTTGATGTTTGAAACTGGGTCATCCTTCTTGCTCCAACAAATTGATCCAAATCTGGGATTTCTTGCTTTTGTGATCCTCTGAAGTTTCTTTGCATTCGGGGAGCTTCGACTTTACCCCTCTTTGCATTAGAAGACCACAGCTTGGGTAGACCAAGGGATGGTTATGGACCTACTTGTATTTGCATCAGAAGACCACACCTTGGGTAGACCAAGGGATGGTTATGGACTTAAAATGAGCAAAGATACTTCCTTTTGAGCATTCCTGTCCCATCTGACCTATTCTTAGACTAAGAACATCTAAGAAACCTAGAAAGGTGGCAAACTGCAATACTACAACAAAATACCAACCTATGCTGTCATTTTTATCTCTAAAAATATGTCTTAGCTCTAGACCTTTTATCCACATCCTCTATGATGAAATATCCTTCTCAAATGGGAGTGAATATACTTGGAATACTGCCTCCAATTTTGTTCACCATAATATAAAAAAGATGTTGAGACTCTAGAAAAAATGCAGAGAAGAGCAACAAAGATGGTTAGGGGACTGGAGGCTAAAACATATGTAGAACGATTGCAGGAACTGGGTATGGCTAGTCTAACGAAGAGAAGGACTACAGGTGACATGATAGCAATCTTCCAATATTTGAGGGGCTGTCACAGAGAAGGGGGGGGGTCAATCTCTTCTTCAAAGCACTAGAGGGCAGGACAGCAAATAACAGATAGAAACTACCGTAAATGCCGGCGTATAAGACGACTTCCGCGAGCGCTGAAATCGGCGCCAAAGACAGGGGTCGTCTTATACGCCGAGTCATCTTATACGTCGGAAATACTGGTAGTTTCCGGCGTATAAGACGACGTTCTAGGAATGAGGCCCGGCTATAAAGACGGGGGTCGTCTTATACGCCGGGTCACCTAATACGCCGGCATATACGGTAATCAGATAGAGAACCAACCTAGAACTAAGGAGAAATTTCCTAATAGTGAGAACAATTAATTAGAGGAACAGCTTGTCTCCAGAAGTTGTGGGTGTTCCATCACTGGAGGTTTTTAAGAAGAGACTGGACAGCCATTAGTCTGAAATGGTATAGGGTCTCTTGTTTGAGCAGAGGGTTGGACTAGAAGACCTCCAAGGTCCCTTCCAACTCTGTAATTCTGTTACCCTGATAGAGAGTAACCTGAGGAAGGGCAACAGTTTGGAAGAAAGGATAAAGGCTAACTCCACCATTTTATTTTTGTTTGAATGCAAACAAACAAACTGCAATTGCCATTTTGTGAATAGGGAAATAGTCTCTCTTAAAGCCACTATATACGAAGACTCCAAAAGACCCCCCAAAGAATGCCCCTCTGTCTTGAAGGTGGCATTTTTCTTGAATTTTGAGTTGACTTCATCACCCAGTTTTTCTTCCATTCTCCTCTCAGGTATTTTCATCTTTTGAGTTATAAATACAATTAAGGTGGGGGGGGGGTTGGGTGGGAAGATAAGCAATATGCTCCTGATTATACATATGAGAAAATATTAGTCACACAGGCAATTAACCACACAGAAAAGTTGGTTAATTTTTCATTGACACTAAAGGGGCTGACTTGGCACATAAAGTATAACTGACAAAATTGGCTGTCTTAGGAAAGTTTAGGAAACATTCATTTATCAATTAGGACCGGTTGCACTTTTATAAATTTGCCTGAAGAAAGAACCCCCCCCCTCCACACCCTGCTGCAAATCTATCTCTGTCTGTATGGCATGCTTTCATGGTATTTTTTTTCCCCCTTCTGTGCAATACTTCCAAGTTTTAGTTTTTTTCATAAGGGGAGTCCGCTGCAGTTTCTCCCAGTCCTTACACCAGATTTGATGATCATTAGTTTACACAAGGAATGGGGAGTGTGCAGTTTTGTTTTGTTTTTCTCTTTCATATCCTTCCAATTCATGTGATTGTGGATTCAATCCATGTTGCCCGTCTTTGTTGTTTTAGATTTATGTGGCTGCCCAATTTGCAATAGCAACGCTGAGCAACTTACAGTTTGAAGCAAGAAATGAATGATACAACGCAATGCAACGAAATCTAAAAGACATAAAAAGAAGAGGGCAGCAGAATAAGAGACGCAACAATAAATAACACAAGCAATTGAAGCCAATCAACACGTTTCTTGGGAGCCATGGCCCAGCGGTTAAGACACTGGGATCGTTGACTGGATGGTTCAAGACCCTGGCACCATGTGATGGGCTGAGCTTCCATTCCTGCCCCAGTTCCTGCAGTTTGAAAGTATGCAAATGTGAGTAGATAACTAGGTACCACTTTGGTGGGAAGATAACAGCATTCTGTGCACCTTGGCATATAATCATGCCAGACACATGGCCTACAGAAGTGTCTTTGGACAATGTTACTCCTTTACCTAGGAAATGGAGATGATTACTGCCTCCTCAGGCTGGACATGCCTGGACAGGATCAAAGGATTCAGAGACTCATAACCACTTATTCTTGCTATGGTTAAGCCAATGCTTGTGTTTCCTCATCCTGAGTCCTCCAATCTCCAGATCCTGGGAGAAAACCTTGATAGCATCACTTGGTTGGCCCAGCATAGAGATGTATCACTGCGTATCAGTAACTTATTGATGATATTTGATTGCATAATGATGGAATATCTCACCTAGCAGTTCCATGTAGATGGATGGGTCTTGCTCAACCCTGACAAGCTGAAGATGTGTGGACTGCAATTCTCAGAATTCCTCAGTCAACATGCTGGCTGGAGAATTCTAGGAGCTGAAGTCCACACATCTTCAAGCTACCAAGAAACCCTGCTATTTAGATGCTAAATAACCAGCAGAGAGACAGATTCCTGCAGTGCCATATTCTTATTTGCACTGTTGCCTTGTGTAGATAATTTCCTCAATGTCTCTTCCCAAATCATTATTTTAAAAGCATCATTTTCATATATATCTTCCTTTAATACCATATAGTGAAGTGCCCTGAGAAATTCAGAAAAAAATATGTATTTCAAAGGGTAAATTGATCGGTCCAAGAGTGACACTGGATAAATTTGCATTGAGAGGAGAAATCCTCCCCCACCAAGCCCCCAAGCCCTCAACCCCTTAACTGGCATTGCTGGAGGAGCACACCCTCTTTCATTTTTCTTTCAGCACAGAGATGAAGTCCCTCTTTCTGAGCTGAATACAGACAGAAGCCAGTTCCTTTGCAATCAGCAGGCTTGTAAAAGAGACTTTTCTGTTGGCTTTAGATTAGCAGTGAAGTCAGGGCTGGCCTGGCTACCAGCAGCTGCTAATACCTCTCACCTGCTGTTGACAGGCATTAATAAAAACCTAATCTGAGGAAATTATGAAAAACCTCCTCATTATGCAATCTGGTTTATGTTTTGGCATGTGCCAAGACTTGGCTGCTTTTCAAGGGAAACCACCAGTTTTAACTTCTATTTATTTTACTTCTTGGCTATGGTTCAATAAGCTAAACTGAGAGTCTGGATGAAATGGGTTTATACTTCACTCACCCCCTTGATGTTAATATAGGCCATTTCAGGAAGGTCAAGCTCTGAGTTTGCAGAATTTGGTCTCCCTCTTAGAACTCATCAACGAGAGTCAAGAAGTTGGTCACCCAACTGTGAACCTTCTCCAGACTGGCCCAGGTAGATAGACCTCCACTTCTAATACTGGAGTGTTATTGAAAACTTTGAAAATTGGTCCAGACATACGGAGAGGCAGACAGATTGGAAAAAAAAACTAAATCAAACTACATCATGTTTCTGAGCATATTCTGAATCCAACATTTGTCTTTCAGCAGTAGAACAACATACTGTGTCTTCACATATAGCTACCTGCATTTTACACCTGGATAAAAAGGATTGGGATCATTCTTTTCGCTGCTCTTTTTATACAGTACAGCTGAATGTGGAATTCTTTCTATTCTACTGCAAATATCTTTGGATTACTTAATTGCTTCCTTAAAATAGCAATAAATTAGTCCTATCTCAGTTAAGGCTGAATATAGCCCTCAAATGTTTATCCTGAAGTTCTGCTTTAATAATGTACCTATTTTTTTTTTTTAAAAATAGCAGTTTCTTGCTACTGGTACAGGCCAAATAACTATTAAGAGCCGGATGCCAGCAGTTCGATTCTCATCAACTCAAGGTTGACTCAGCCTTCTAGCCTTCCGAGGTCAGTAAAATGAGGATCCAGATTGTTGGGGGCCATATGCTGATTCAGTAAATGCTTAGAGAGGGCTATAAAGCACTATATGGAGTGGTATATAAGTCTAAATGCTATTGCTATTAATGGGAGGTAGTTTGGTGTAGTGGTTAAGACTTCAGGCTAGAAACTCAAAGACTGTGAATTCTAGTCCTGCCTTGGTCACAAGCCGGTTGGGTGACCTTGGGCCAGTCACCCTCTCTCAGACCTAGGAAGGAGGGCAATGGCAAACCACTTCTGAAATTTTGCCAAGAAAACAGCAGGAACTAGACCAGGCAGTTGCCAGGAGTCAAGACTGATTTGACCAAACAAACAAACAAACAAAAAACAGCGGTTAAATCTTCCTGAGGTGATTTTAACATCCATCTTCGCCTGTGAAAATGAATCCCACAGCAAAAAAATAGGTGGACTTCAAGCTGTCTCAATCCTTAATTAAATTACCATGACTTGGAAATCTTTCAGAAAATCCGAGGAAAAGATCCTATGAACGTTAGACAGGCAGTTTCCCTAATTCAGTTTTCCCAGTTGATTTTTTTTTCTTTGAAAGATGAAGGGAATCTTGGAGAAATTCTCACAGGTATGGTGGGTTTCCTTGCACTTCCTGTTTTGCGTAATGACCAAGGTGTGCGTGCAAATATCCTGCACTTCATAGTACATCCACTTCTGTGCTTATCTGGAGCCTCCTTGACTTCCGTTGCTTCCCTTTGGCATCAGAAGAAGACATTAGGAGAAAAAGTTCCTTGATGGGGCTTTAAGACAAGTATTACGGTCACAGCGAACGACAGCTTTATCCTTGAGAAAATCTTGGAAAACGACCCTTTCCTCTTGAGAAATTCAGAGGAATCATCTCTGCTCTCAAGCTTAATGGAAAATTTTGAAAGGTAATTTGTACCCAACTCTAGGCCCAGTCTTCCGATGGGTTAAACATATGGACTCACACAGAGAAAATGTAATATTCTGGAGTCAGACTCCAAGGATGACACAGGAAGGAATCTCAGTATGGGTTTAAACTCCAGTTAATTAATCACTCTGGAAGAAGGAACACCGACCCAGTTAGATGCAGGCTACAGCAAAGTTTTCTACAGTGTTAGATGAGAGTTGCACAAAGAAAAACCTCTTGTTCTCCTGGTATGAATGAGAGTTGTTTTGACATGGGGGAATTCTGAAGGATCTGTCCTTTGTAACAAGGTAAACCTTACCGCAAGATGATGCTCAATGCAACTTTGCTTATGTATTTGTCCAGCAATGCTACAAAATCTCCGTTACTGTACTGCGGTGTTTCTCAACCTTGGCAACTTTAAGATATGCAGACTTCAAATCCCAGAATTCCCTATAGAATGCCAACTGGTACCAGACATTCTGGATGAATAGAACCATACATTTACCTGTTCCTTACTAACGTGATTCACCATTTGAAATAATAAGCTTAACCCTCCTGGATCTCTGTGGCTGTCAGTGATGGGAAATGCAGCTCTCCATTAAGTTGCTGAATTAGAGACCAAAACGGTTGGATGTTTCATGACTGAACAAAATCTGCAGATCTCAGTTTGCCTCATTGACTATTGTGATTTTTAACTTAGTGCTCTTAACACCTTGATAACGTCCAACCTTTTTCCTTTCATTACTTCAGTGTTTCTGAAACTCAGTTAAGATTTGTGGACTTCAACAGGATGCTGGCTGGGGGATTCTGGGATTTGAAGTCCAGACAATTTGAAGTTTCCAAGGTTGAGAAACATTGATTTAACTATTTAACCATACATTATGAGATGGGTTGATGGTAGTCCTCTGGTCATGAGATTGATTGGGCAATTCTGGGAGATGAAGTCTACTCATCAGAAATTTGCCAAGGTTGAAAAACATTGCTGTATTACCTTGTTTTGCATGCCATTATTATGCCTATATGCACATTTAAGAAACACCCACATTCACGCACTGAGACAATCACACACACACAAACATAGACTAAAATACTAGTATCTGGAAGAAAGGAAATCCCATACTAACAACCCAAGAAAAAAATTCATCATCAACAACAACAATACACAACCCCCACCAGAAACAAGCACTTGATGTAATAAAGTCAATTTAAAATTTGTTCCACCAATCTTTTGCATCTGTAATTTTCCCATTAAACGTAAATGCCCATGAGGCATGCCATTTGCATTACATTGCATTTGCAGTCTTTAAAACAAACTATAAATCCCCCTTCTTGTTTCATGTGATTGATGTTGTTGTATAAATACCACCATAAACCTCAAAGGGGGCTAACAGTGACAGTAAATTAAAGTTTTTTAAGTCTGCTAGTACCACCACACTTAAGCCTTTGGTCTTATGCAATGCTAGAACAGATAGAACTTCATCACAGTTGGAAGGGATCTTGGAGATCTTCTAGTCCAACCCCCTGCTCAAGCAGGAGACCCTATACCATTTCAGACAAATGGCTGTCCAGTCTCATCTTAAAAGCCTCCAGTGATGGAGCATTCACAGCTTCTGAAGGCAAGCTGTTCTGCTGATTGATTGTTCTCATTGTCAGGAAATTTATCTTAGTTCTACATTGCTTCTCTTCTTGGTTAATTTCCATTAACCATCCATTGTTTGTTGTCCTGCCTTGTGGTGTTTTGGTAAAAAAAAGTTGACCCCCTCTTCTTTGTGGCAGCCCCTCAAATATTGAAACACTGCTATCATGTCACCTATCATGACCATGTCACTATCAGTACATCTTTTGGCATTGCCCTCCTGAATGGAACTGACCCTCCTTCCACTTTTTCCATTTTTCCCTCCCTCTCCCCACTTTGGCTCCTATTTAGAGTTTGTTGATGACTCACATTCTATGAGATGGGAGGGAGGGAGGGAGGGAGGGAGGAAAGGAAGGAAGGAAGGAAGGAAGGAAGGAAGGAAGGAAGGAAGGAAGGAAGGAAGGAAGGAAGGAAGGAAGGAAGGAAGGATTTTTTTTCTTCTTTGACTGAGCAGGTCTTTGTGACAAGAGCACAAGCCCACTTAACTAGAACTTGGTGTCTTTTTCAAACTCTTGCACACTTCTCTCTAATCCAATATAGCTCCTAGGGTGAAAGGAAATGAGCAAGTAATGATATTTAATGCTTTGACATTTGGTTCTTTCTGGGTAATAAATGAGGCACATTTGCTCCAGTAATTTCCATTGTTCCACTACATCATAACTTCCTATCTGTGGATGAGATCCAAAATGGTTCTTGAGTCACACTCAAAGAACAAGGTGACAATCCTGTAAAAAGGGTTGAAGTTGTCTCAGGGTTGACATTGACAACCTCTTGCTCAATTTTTCACCAGCAATCAATGTTTGCCATTCCGGGTCAGCAAATTCTTTTGTGTTTTTGTATGGTATTATTGCTATGACTATTTTAAAATCAATCAGATCTAAGCATGGCATATCAAGTCTATCTGGTTTGCATGATCATCAGACCAGGCACTCTTCCTAAAGTGGCCATGTGAATCTCAACATATGTATGATAAAGGTTTTCTACCTGAAAGGTAGAATAGGATATTTATGAACCTATAATGTATACACAGATGCAGGGCTTTTTTTCTCATAGAACACCCAGAACGGAGTTCTGGCACCTTTTTTGGATGGAACCTTGTAGGGTAGGCTAGGCGGGTTGTATGGTGTGTGTGAGTTCCGGCACCTTTTTTTTTTTTGTTTTTTTTAGAAAAAAAGCACTGCACAGATGTACAAACTAACATGTATGAACACAGTCAAAAATGGTTGTCCTGAATAAGTTTGCTCCATTTCTCTCTTTGGGTTTGAGGACAGATGTTTCATCCTGTCATCAATGGAGATTCTCAGTCATCCAGGTCATGGTTGTCCCAAAGGTGCTTTTTCAGGAGGCAACTAGACTTTCTTGTTTTTTCTTTGAAGACATTACACTTTTCAACCAAGAAGCTTCTTCAGCTCTGACTGGATGTTGGGGAATGGAAGGATTTATACTCCTTGCAGATAGCTGGTCATTTGCATTCTTTTAGGGCAGTGGTTCTCAACCTTTCTAATGCCGCGACCCCATAATACAGTTCCCCATGTTGTGGTGACCCCCAACCACTTATACATCACTGCGTGCCAGGGGCGTGGCCAAAGAAACGGAGGAAAAAAATGGCGGACAGCCTTGTTTGGCGACCCCCGTGAAATGGTCGTTCGACCCCAAATGGGATCCCGACCCACAGGTTGAGAACCACTGTTTTAGGGAGCCGTTGAGGCCACCCGGAGGTTTATCTGTGTCCTCAGGGTCACCTGAGTAGTGCAAATGGATGTGGAGCCTTCATGGAACTGCTGAAAGACTGTGTTGTAGACTGGAGATAGATGATGTCGTATCCCTCCTCGTCTGTTGAGAGAGAGCTGTTCAGTTTTGACATAAATGGCCAATTTGACTCCTCTTTCAAACCAGCCATCCTCTCTGTCCAACATGTGGACTTTGTCTTTTAAATGCAGATGGACTGCTGAATCTTTTTCTGATGGGTTTGTTCTCCTGTGTTGTGCCATGCCTTTGATCCTGTCTTTTGCTGAATGGTTTAAGGGCCAAGTGGAATTGATCATCTCCTCCTCCTTTATCAGGAGATGTCAAAGATTCTAACATATTCCCTTTTTAAACGGTTGAATTGCCCCGTATGTCATAGTCACCACCATGCTGATCATTCAGAAGCTGCTTCTTCTGATTTAATCTTGAAACTTTTCTAGGTAGCAGCCCTTGGCTCACTCTCTTAGCAATGCCAAGAAGCATCTTTAGTTGATGTACCTGCCGCGCCTGTATTTCTATGTTTTGTTTAGTACATAGAACGAATGTCTCCCCAACAGCCTTATGGTTGACAGTTCAAGATCTGTTATTGGCTTATGTCCTAACAAGTGACCCACTTTTTATGAACTGTCATTTTTTTTAAAAAGGGGGAAAACTCACATGGGACCATAATTATAGCTTATAGAATTATATATTCTCCAGAATTAGCAT